TCATATAAAGCATTATTAATTACATTTATGTATACATATCTCATTGCATACATAGTTAAAGCATTTCGTTAAGTAATATGGTATGATTTTTTAAACCATATATTTAAAATTTTACAGGATTTTGTAAAAGAGTGGCTACAGGCTCTCTTTACCTACAGGTATCGTAAATACGTATACTACCAGCCCCAAAGGTTTTCAAACCAGGTAGAAAATTTTATGAAACGATGTGAATATTGTAGGTGACAGTTTTATAAGATGTCGCACAATTAATGATTCGATTTAAATAATAAATAATATTTTTTATTTCAACAGAAATATGTTTACACTATATTTTAAGTATCTAACAAATGGCGACTATCATTAGCCTCTACTTCACATGTTGTGTACAGGGAATTTATTATGACACTTGTTACTGTTTCCAGTTTTATGTGCATTATATAATATATAACAATTGCTTACGCGTATTTGTTTTAAACTGTTGTACGGTTCGTGTCTTCTCTTTCTCTTTTACACCTGTTTTTTAAGCATCCCCAACGGAAATAAGCTGTGGCCGTTAAATCTGTAAGTGCCATGACTAGAGTTAAAATTGGAAAATTGGAAAATCACATGTTTCTCAAAAATTTCCTTCCCGAAAGTCATTAATGGTCGCTGAAAATATTAGACTTTTTGATAAATCCTTAGAGCATCAGAAGGATTTCTAACATGAAATTAGTTGCGGATTGAGGCACTAGCGGCTGAGCGGCAATTCGTTGAGCACTAGTAGTTCGATCCGGGTTCTAGCTTCTACGAACGAGCTGGCTGTATGAGAGGTTTCATCGTTCTTTCCATGGACGAGATAACTGCCAAGGAATGTTTGTGGTCATTCCTGTATGTAATGTCCAATATTAGTGGATAATACGTTATTATCCCCCACAAGTGTATCGCACATATGTCACTTTTCCTTAGAGTGTGTTGTACAAGGCATCCTTGCCCTTAAGCAGATATCCTAGTGTACATTGCCACAATCTAAATAATTTAATAGCAATATGTTCATTTCATCAAATGAACAAAGTGTTGCTTGTCAAAGTAAAATTGAACATTTTCTATCCTTTGCTTCATATTGAGTTTTGTTTTCTCTTTCGTGTTCAGTTTTCCCCTCCTCAAAATGTTAGGACTGTATCCATTGTCTAAAGAGTGCTAAAAGGAAAAAGTATAATATACCTTATCTTATACGATACCCCTACTTAAGCAAATTCAAAGTTAGGCTGTCCCTTATTTTCTATATTTTATTTTGCATGTTTATGTTTCTAGTTAATTTGCTTTTGAAATTGTCAGTAACTCAAGAAAATTTTGATAAACAAAACATTGCTCTACCTATGTCGTAGAACTTATCTTTAAATAAATAATATTCATTAAATCATAACACTTTATACTAAATGCTGGAAAACTCCACACACCATGTCCAAAACTGCAGTTAAGTTATAACTGGGTTCACAGACAATGCAGTTATTCTACGTCACAATGCAATCATTGTTCTTGTTTGTACAGAAAAAGCGAAGAACAGTATTAAATATTCTTTATTTCTTCTTTTCTTTTAATTTACATCTAAGATTTAAGTCGTCAAAGAAGTTTATTAAATTTTATGAAGCCATCGGAATAATTTCATTTTATCTAGTATATTTATTTAAATACTATTTTGTTCTGTTATGTATAAAAACCTCATTCTTTATTATACCCTTTCTTCTTCCTAAATGAGCTTTTTTTTCAACTCTTGATCCTATTTAATTATAATAGTTCCAAGGACAAAATTGGACTCTAATTTGCGAACCTTTCCACAGGTCTCATCTATCGCGTAAATGTGGAGTATTACAGAATAAAAAGAAAATTATTTATCATTTAAGTCCTTAACTAATAGCTAACATAACTAATAGCTAACATAGATAACATAAAATATAACCTTTCGTACGATCTACAAACAGCAATAATTCCAATTAATATAATATTCAATATGTTTTAAATAAAGTCAATCATGCTAGGTTTCTAATATTTACGTGGAAAATTTACTATTATTCGATATTATTATTACTATTTACTAATATTCGAGGAACAAATTAACTCACCAAGACAAGTTTTTAAACCCAATCAAAATTTTCAAAATTCCAATCAAAATTTCATTTTTAAAATGAGAATTTTAAAAATGAAATCGCTTGAAAACTATCAGCGTATAAGTAAATTTGGGTATATTTTTTCTGTGAATTCAACTTTCTTTTGATTTTAATAGAAAATTTTAAGAACTCGTAGAAAACACAAAATTAAAATTGATGAGAAAGACCTTTTAATTAAAAATCTATATTTAGAACCTTCACATTTCAGAAATTTTAAGTACAGACTTTCATTCAAAAGTTTAGAACATTAAATAAATCACTTAAAAATCTTAAACTTCGAGATTTAAGTATGTAAATATAAATTTTTTACTTGGATGACATTAACACTGAAGAATTTTATGTAAGTTAAAAAAATCCGATGTGTACACCACATGACTTCCTTGTACGGAATATTAAATTATACGTATTTATTTCTTGCATTTCTTTTAAACTTATTGGATTTAATTAAATCTACTTCCCCGACAGCGCATAAACCACAATAGAATAAAGGCATTCTTTAAAATTCACTCTATTTGTTTAACATAGCGACACTCTGGCACTAGGTTCACTTAACAGTATTATATTTCATTCATATTATAACTCAGAATGCACCAAATGTATATCATTTAAAGAATTATCTAATCGTTGCCACATGTTCTTTTCAAATACTATAATAGAGCTAGAACGATGTAAAAAAAGAAATTAAGCAAACAAAACAAAAAAGAACAGTTTTTCACAGACGATTGAGTATTTCTCATTCAATTAATTCAGTTTTTCACTTCGCGACAAGACAAAAATACATAAAAGCTCAAAAAATATCTGCATTAAAAAATTACTAATTATTAAAAATTAAATTACTAATTATTAAAAATTAAGTAAATCTTAAACACTTATTTCCTCAAAAAAATTCCAGAAAGGATTAAGCATGATTTAATTCGCAATAATAAATGCAAGCGTTATTTTTGTTGTTGCGAAGCTTAGTCTCTTTAGATTGGCAACAAATCTACAATTCTGCTGTTTCAAATGTAAACACATATGTCGGCCATGTTATTTAAAACTTAACCGCACTCAAACAGCTTTTAAATTGTTGATAATTGTACAAATATTGCTTCCAGAATTACAAAGGCATAAAATCCTTAACCGGAAGATAAGAACAACATAATTCAATCATTTTTAAAGCAAAAAATGTACAATTTACAAACATATAAGAGTAAAGAAACTGAGATCACTGAGCCGGGTAACAAAGTGGTTATATACATAAATATATTTATATACGTTTGGTGCGGCCGATTGCAACCGAAATACGAGGTGTGCAAAAATAACTTGTATTGATGTATTAATGTATTGATTGCATAAATCTTTTTAAACGTAAAATTCGCTAAATCTGCACAAAATGTATAAATAAAAGTAAATTCGAAATGTCAGGTATCTTTTGGATGCAGAAATATATGTGTTAAAAATTTGGTGGAACTAGGTGCTGCCTAAATTTTGATGCTACCCTTACTCTGCGACAAACTCATATATTCAATCAACACGTCATATATTCAGTCACAGATATTTTAATAACAGAAGTAAAAATTTATACTGTAGGCTTCTTAAAATATGCGTAAACTTTTTTATTAAGAAATAAAGCAGAATTCTTCTTTTAAAAGGTAATGCAGGTTTATTTGAAATTTTCTCGCTAAATAGTTGCTTCCATTTCTAAAATTATTCTGAAGAGCTCTGCTTATAAATATTTAATATCTGAGTAAAAATGGAAGTTTTAACGCAATTTCATGTTGTACTTTTAAGTCGCCTTTAGAATATAAAGTTTTAAATGCTTTTTAAATTAATTTCATATTCGTAGTTTTAAAAATAAATATTATTAATTTTTAGCCATTGAAATTTTAATTTGCTCTACAAAGCTAATTTTGAAGAACATTTCGCTTTTTTTTTTTTTTTTTGCTTTTTAAATAGAATTGTAATTAATTTCTTAACATTTGAAAGAAACGGGAATTTAAATGCAAATTTCGCTTTCCATTTTGAATCAGATTTAAAAATAGTTTTTTCTTGGGGGGGGGGCGGGTAGATTTTTAAAGGCAGATACTGTTTTTTTTTTTTTTTTTTTTTTTTTTTTTTTTCAGATTGGAAACACAACTTTTTCAATAGCAAAGATTTATCACCACGGAGAAAATCAGCCTTCTTATTATGATGTTTGCTTTATTAATATGCCATGAAAAGAAAATTAGCTGAGAAATTTCAGCCGAAATAGTTATTAATAGTATCTAATTTTTTTTAATTTACTTTTGAAAGAAGATTATCTCAGAGATTTTCAGCAGAAGTTATTATTAATAACTAAATTTAGCTTTGCTTTTACTTAATGTAACCACTAGTTTCTCATCTGTAAATGTGCTAATTTCTCATCCGTTAGAGTGTATTAAAGAGAAATTTCAAATACTTAATTACTTAATTACAAATAAAATTTTCACCTTCAGATTCCTTTTTGCAAGTCTTAAGCATATTATTAAGATAATTTTTAATTATAAAATCTCCACATTTGTTTGTCAATTTTTAATCATCTGAATTTATAAATCATTGCCTCCGAAGTTTGTGTATCGTACATATCGTCAGTACGACTCGGGATAGTCCGTGATCTGCGGAGAAAAGGATTTTACACTTAGATCATTCGAAAGCCATGCCGACATTTTTAGTAAAATTTCTACTTTTACGCGTCGTTCTCCATCTCCGTTCGGAGTACCTATTGGTTCGGAGAGGTGGGGTCAGCTGGCTGGATTCCCGGGCAACCGGAGTGCCCTCTGCCAATCAGGGGGGGTATGGGGCGTGTCTTCACATTCAAAGCTCTCAACTCTCTATAAAAAGGCCAGGAAGTAGATGCTATGCTCTACACAGTCGTCACCCATCACTTCGTAAAGATAAGCCGTATCTCGGCCAATTTTTCGCAACCATCCGAGCTCCCCCTCCCTCCCTACTATTGCTTCTAGATTTAATTCCTTTTTCTTCCCTTGTCTTATTATTATCCGTGTTTCCTGCTCACCATGGCCGTTTCATTTCGGATCTCTAAATGGCTATTGTTCGCTACTCACGTGCTTTCCGTCGTGTTTCCGTGTGTCTGGAACACTTCTCTATACGCTCATCACATGCCAGAGGACTCGCTCGATCAAGATGTGCAAGAGTGGGACACAGAGGAGGAAGAAAATTCAATCTCTGAAGAAAGAACGAGCAACTGCAGCCGATGCATCGAGAAAGAAGAGCGAAGAGCTATGAGAATTCAGACGATCAAGAACCAGATCTTGACACAGCTGGGAATGAGAGAGGCTCCCAACGTCACTCAAAAAGATCTCCCCCATATACCTCCGTTGGACAACCTGTTAGACAACTACAACATGCAGTCGGATTCACCGACTTTCACACCCGGTCCCGAATACGGAGATGAAGATGATTTTTATATCACTGCGGAAAAAGTTCTCGCCTTCGCTCAAACACGTAAGTACGGTTATTCGCTTCATACGTGCTTTATTTATTTACTTTTATTAGTTTCAAAGTATTTTAAGCGAATTAATGAGTGTAATGAATGCTATCTGAAAGCTACAATTATTTTGCAAATGTACGATAATTGATTTGCTAACTAAATGTATTTTAATGGATGAATTTGAGTAAGTGTAGTACTACTTTAAAACTGTTATTCTTGTAAATGCAGAATAATTAATCAGCTAACTTGAAGTATTTTAGTAGATAAATTTGACTTAGTAAAAGGCTATCTTAAGTTTCTTCATGATTATATTACAATTAATCAGCGAGTTAGAAGCTGAGAAGAGCACTATCTTAAAACCGGTGTTCTTTGTAAATACAATAATAATTAATCCACCAACTGTAAGTATTTTAGTCGATGAATTTAAAGCACCTAACCCAGTGGGCCAGCTGTTCCGTCGATGGTGAAAAGAAAAGAAAAGTCGATGAATTTCATTGATTTTTATGGCGCCTTAAAATTTGCATATTTTCTCAAATGCACAACCGAGAACTCTTTTTAACGTATATAAATACGAATATGTTTGATAAATTCAAAGATTATTATTTTAAGTAAAATGTTAAAGAATTTATTTAAAAAATGTTACAAGTAGAAAAAGAAACCTGCATTAAAATTTTCAGCTTAACAGCAGTTAACATCACGCATTGTCTGTTCCTAAACGAGTTCGATTAACGAGACCCTGTTCTAAAAAAAGTAAAGTTTGTTTGTCTTGAAATTATGGAAAACTTTCTGTGGCAAACTATTTAAATTTGCTGTTTCAAGAGACAGGTATTCTAATTGACATTCTAAACGAGTTTAATTTCAACAACAAAGTTCTCCTATAAGTATTGTTCTTTAATGCCATTTTTAATTTTAAGCTTCTTCCGCTCTAATTTTATCTTTCTTTCTCGTTATGTACCTATTTTGTTTTAATTTTTAAATCTGATTTAATATACGTAACCAAATAAACTTACCCTGTACATTAAATTCCTTCAAAATACGAATAAACTGTCCACAGTATTTCTGTGATAATTATAATATAGGTTCTTCTTCCCAATGTTTTTTTAACTGCATTCTAATTAACCGTTATTTTAAATTAAACATAGCCATCAGATGCGGTATTACCACAATCATTCGTGATAGTATTTTAATGCTAAAAATAGATATAAGGTTTAACATTTAACTTAAAAAAGTAAAACTGAGAATTGGGGGGGGGGATCTTGGGAAGTGTCTTTTTATATTAAATGCCATTTGATTGTTAAACTATTGCTTTAAAAAGTTAATGCACAGAACTAAATTTCAAGTACGCTTAGTTTTAAAATGTAACTCAGTCATGTTTTTGTTTAGAAACTTATTAAGCGTTTAGTCAGTTTAGATTTACTTGAAAATAACAGATTTTATAAAAAAGGAAGAAAAAAAAATATTTGCATTTAGCTATACTCTAAATAGGGAGCATATGTTTTCTGTATCCCAACATTCTCGTAAATTACTATGCTGAAATCGTAGAGAAGTTTATTTCGTTAATTTAGATTAAATGTTGTAGATTACAAAATAATTGAAATAAAATTCATTTGTAGTAAATATATATAGTATATATATATGAATGAATATATGAATTATTTTTACTAACGCAATTTGAAATTTTACTGTTAATATTTATTTTTTTAGTATTCTATTATTCAAGTAACGTCTGATTGCCAGTTAAGATAATTAATTATATAAGGTAATAATTTGCTTTCAAGACCTAGAAATGCTTTAGACTTATCACCCAAGACTTAGCAATGCTTTACATCTAACTGTCTGAAGTAATTAATGAGATAATACTTTTTAATTCTTATTGCTACTTAAAATACTATGTAGGAATTTTGTTTTATGTGTAAAACTGTAAAAGAATAATTAATTTTTTTCCATTTCTCCCATAACCTGAGATATATTTTCAATGCTTTTTTTTAACATTTATTTTCTAAAGATGAAAACAGTTTAAAAACAAAATTTCACAGTTTCAGGGGTTAAACAATAAAGTTATAGCTTTAGGAGTGCCAGAAAAGAAGAAAAAATTATAGCTTTATTCGTCAAATCGACAAAATTTTAAGATCACTAAATTAAGTAATGCAAAAATATACATGACCATTATATAAGAGTTATTTTAATTTTCTGAAACGTATATATCTATTACGTTCGTGCATGTTTAAGTTCAGTCATACTAAAAACAAACTTGTACGGCATCATTTATTTTGTTCGAATAAATCTGGCACTCCTTAGTGTAATGGATATTTAAAGAACCGGTTTAGCCTGAAACAGCTGATCGTGCCGGCATCTAGCTTTAGGCATTTCCGTTTATGTATTCCATGGAAAAACACCATATCAAGAAAGAAAGTGACAACAATGACGTTATTCTTTTCCGCAATCATTTAAGGAGCTGCTTATTAAAAAAATAAGTAAAAAATTCTAAATGTTGTTTAAAAGCTTTAAGTGAGATAACAAAATAAAAATATCGAACTTGTAGATAAAATTCACAAAATGTGTACCATAAAAGTACCATTTAAATATTATTTTTATGTTTGAAGTGACACATAGTTTTGCTGAAATTGCATATGGCTATGCAAACATGTTTATTTTGCTCTAACACCTTTAATATTATTGTGTGACATTTATTATATTATAATTGATTATACAGATGTGCATGATAAGTTTACTTATAATATCAAAGATGTAAATGAAGGGGGAAAATATCATACTCTTAAAATAACTAAAGAACTCATTACTCGTACTATCCATGAATATAAAAAATTATTTAACAATTCCTGGTTAATTAAAGTGACTATTCTAAAGTAAGAGATGCAATAATTCCTTAGCTTCTCCCGCTTTTAAAAGACGACTTGTAGGTTCCACCAGCTACCGAGCTATAAAATCACTGACTGTAGGTAGCTTTGACCTGGGTTTGATTTCAAGCGAAAGGGTTGGCTGCATGGGCGTTTTCGTGGTTTCCCCCCATTCTGTAAGATGTATACGAACCAGCTCCCCTCGAGAACTGGTCCTCCACGAAGGCATCCTTTCTCTTAGGCTGATAGCCCTAGAGTGCCTTGCCATAATCAACTAAACCAAACCAAACTAAAAGAATATTTGGAAGAGGCACCGAGACCAAATCCTGATGGTGACGAGTTATCGTCAACCAGAATTTAATTTGGACATAACTGTAGGCAGCATTAGGTTTGTGAGATTAGGAGCATGGAAAATCAATTGTGGCTTTAGCCGGATTTGAACCCCGTCAAGATAACTGATCTTCTAGTTGCTAACCCTGCTTCCTAACACTTACATCACAAGAACATGCATGGGGGGGATTCAAAAATTATGTATTGTACTTTTATGTTGAATGTGTCGAGCTGTAAGCTATTAGAAATATATTTGTTTTAAAATACGCAGTAGTTTATAAGTTTATTAGAAATTGAAGTATTGTTGCGAGAACTTAGTTTTAAGACCCTCAAGCATCTATTTTTAATAATTTCACTTTGTTGACATTTCAGTCTGAAACTTTGCATATTTTCTTTTTTCTGCTTAGAAATGAAAAAAAAAATAGTGCGTAAAGATAATATGTATCTTTAAGTTATCTGTAGCTGTTTAAAATCGGAAAAAAAGAGAAAAAGAAGAAGAAGAAAGACGTAAAATGTGGAGTAAGACTTTTTTTTTTTTTTTTTTTTTTGAGAGAGAGAGAGAGAGAGAGCTGTTAACATAACTTTTCTGTGAATTGATCTAGGACACGATAGGGAGCTTTTTAACAACGGAAAAGGTAGAATACTTTACCAGCTTATCTGACAATGAAATATGCAAATTTTCTCTCATTTAAAATTTTTTAACATAAAAAAAGCATTATTTCATAATGATTCATACTGGATATGGGATAAAGTATTCTCACGTAGGGAAAAAAGTATTTTAACTTTCTAATTCAGATTTACTTAACTAAATTTTCCACCTGCATAATAACTGATAATTTACTTAAGTTATTATGCAGGTTAAGTAAATTACGCCTGCATAATTTACTTAAACTGCATAATAACTGATTACGAAAATAAAATCCAGAGTCGGTAACATCTGTAGATGACACTTATATATGTATGTGCTTGTGACGGATGGAAAGAGGTAACGTCTGCATCTATTACTCAAAGTTTGTAGTTTATGATTAAAAATGCAGTTTACAAATACTTAAATATACGTTTGGGGAGTGTTAATTGTATTAAGAAGTAGTTTGGTTAATGATACCAAAAAAGCCATAGCAAAAACGAAAGTGATACGATAGCTATACAGCTCAAACAAAACGGTAATAACATTTGAACCTTTTAGTTTCGTATTCCAGAATAAGGAAGACAATGAGAAAGCACGCTGGAATTTTATTCAGTTACTAATACATTAATAAGGAAGACAATGAGAAAGCACGCTGGAATTTTATTCAGTTACTAATACATTAATAAGGAAGACAATGAGAAAGCACGCTGGAATTTTATTCAGTTACTAATAATAAGTTCTTTTCGAAAGCTTTCGAGTTCAAAAAGCAGAGTTTAAAGCTTTACCTCACTTCTAAATGTGTGACCTAATTTAGCAGAAGCATTGAACAGCATTTGCCCTTGGTTAATATGACATCTTTAAAATACAAAATAATAAAAATATACAAGGGCATGATTACCAGCTATTTCGATAATGAGTTTCAGGAAGTTAAAATTAATTGCATGTATTTAGTACAGATAGCTCAAACGATAACCCTGCGTTATGAATTTCGAAGGAATTTACGAGATCTAAGATTTGAATTTGTAATGTGATTGATCTTCATGCAAGATTTTCAAATTTGGTAATATATAAATCAAGAACTTCAGAATGTTAATTCCAAAACACAACCAGTATTGCTTAGAATACTCCTGTTTTCCACAGAATCATCTTTTATAAACACGTATTTCTTTGAATTTTTTTTTTTTTTTCAGTTGCTTTC